CTGTGTTACAGTTACATAAATATTTTATTATGGTCTAAGAAACTGTGTTACAGTTACATAAATATTTTATTATGGTCCAAGAAACTGTGTTATAGTTACATAAATATTTTATTATGGTCTAAGAAGCTGTAACAATATTTTTTCTGTGATACTACGATTAGCTTGGTGTGAAAACGTTTGGAACAACATTTTTAGTATGAACAAATAAACTTTGACATTGAGGAACAGTGTGAGGAAATATTATAACATACATGCTCTTGTTAATGTCTCTAGCCCCAGGAGCTCAGCAGTTTGTGTTCCTTCTTTCAACTAGAGCTGGTGGCTTGGGAATTAACCTTGCCACGGCAGACACAGTCATCATATACGACTCTGACTGGAACCCTCATAATGACATACAGGTGAGGAATTGTCAGTATGTTTCTATAAAACTTGAATCTCCTTAAATAATCATTTATTACGTTTCTGAAATATTTATGTATAGTCAGTTGTGATAGTAGTGTATGTGTGGTGTATTTGGTTGATGTCAGAAGATTCTGGAACTTGTTTAGTTTATGCTCACGAACATTGAATATCATATTATTGTTAGTACACTACACATTCGACTGATAAGTTATCAGTATAGAATTGTGAGTGCAGTATTACATACATATTTACCAAAGAATAATTCATTGTGTTTTCTTAAATGAGGATATTTTTTTACAGCTGTAATTTGTAATTGATTCGTATTTTAGTATTATTGTCAAAATGTAACTTAAATACATAATTCTTCCCTGCATTTATACTGAAGTACGGTACTAAAATTTAATGGTTTGTTTAAAGGCTTTCAGTCGAGCACACAGGATCGGGCAGTCAAATAAAGTAATGATCTATCGATTTGTAACAAGGGGAACCGTAGAAGAGAGAATCACTCAGGTCAGTAGTTTTTTCACTTTTTTCATGTGTTAATTAATTTTTACATTAGATTAAACTAGCTTTACTTTAGTGGAGAAGCTAGGAAAATAAAGAAAACCTTTAAGGTACAGCTATAGTTTAACACAGCTATCTGCTTTATAAATCTTGATCAACAGTCTTTAACTTTAGAATAAATTCATCTATTCAATGATATTATGTATAAAGACTGTTTGGATAAAAGAAAGTTGTAAAATGCTGTTTCAGCAGCAGGTTTCTGTGCTGAAGAAATATTGAAAGGGTTAAAGTCTGGGACCAATTTGGAGCTTTTCTCTTGTATTTAAGTTCAGTGGATAAAAACTACAAATTACATATACTACAAATAATATTTACTTTGATAAAAAGTGGAACAAATAGCATAAGTAAATACCGTTTGAAGTCTGTAGTCTTGTATTATTTAACCTTTTTTTTTTGGCATCATTTCTGGTTCACTTGATTAAGAAAATGTAAGATATATATATAAAACTTGGCATGCAAGTACTTTAATTCTATAACTGTATTTTGATGAGATTTTTTTATTGTTAATATTGGTTGTAAGTTCTGGAATTTATTATCGAAACTGATTCACTGGTTGCAGTTTATTTTTATTATATATCCTTTTTGGAATTAATTATTGAAATCTGATTTAGAAGTTTTTGTATATTAATATTATTTCTCAATTCTAGAATCCATTATTAAACTCATGTTTTGACTTCAGAGTATGGTCCTTTTCATTTTTAATTACAATTTACTAAAGTTCAACATACCTGTGATTGGCTTAAATGTGAAATTAGTTGACAATTAAAATTGTGACCTTCATTAGATATTGGCTATTAATTTGTTGATACATGCTATCTGTGAGTAATAGTTTGTAGTAGTTATTTTTTAACAAAAATCTCCATGATTGTAAAAAAGAGAGAGAGAGAGAGAACATTCTAGGTTAATTTATATATTTCTATTACAATTCATTAGATAAGGGAAAATATATTTTCATATTTCCAACTAATCTTGTCTTTGTTGATTACTCAGTAGTTACATTGGATTTTCTTGTGTATGGAAACTGGTATTTATTTATGAAAGTCAGTACATTGTGATTTGCAAAATTCAAATAATTCTAAAAATGGAGAATCAAATTCTCACCTTTTTTTTGTGTGTTTGTATTTAGGTTGCTAAAAAGAAAATGATGCTAACCCACTTAGTGGTACGACCAGGATTGGGTAACAGATCAAACACCATGTCAAAACAAGAACTAGATGATATTCTGAGGTTTGGTACAGAAGAGCTTTTCAAAGATGAAGAGGGGAAAGGTAAAATTTTTGTTGTTGTTTTTTATATATAAGATTACACGTTTTTCTACTTATTGTTTTTATATTTTAAACTTAGCTTATATGCAAATTCATAATAAGTTTCATTGTGTATTTAAACTGTTGGATTGATCTTGTTGTGACTAGTGACACGCCATTATATCAAATTTCTACAAACTTAAAGTTCAAAAAACAGGGGGGGGGGGGAATGTAAGACTAAAATTAGGCAGTTACCTCATTAGGCAGCTTTGTGCTATAACCACAATATTTTGATTATTTGGATAGCTTGATTAATCCAAAACACTAATTTCAGTTAGTTGATTTAATTCTGAATTTTGATAAATTGATTAGTTTATGTGATGCTAATTGATGTAATTATATTTGATTAATTAATTGAATTGTCCAGCTCTATTGTTATGTATTATAAATTTATTGATTCAGTAACATCTGTAAACAAAAATAATAAATCATCAGTTTTTTTTAAAGCTCTGGTTTTTGGTACTGATGCTATAAAAGAACCTTCAGTGTTCGTTAATCAGGTATTTTTCACTTGACAATAACTTTAAATACTTCATTGCTGGAGAACTGACATGTAAATTTTCTGAATTGGATTCAGAGAAGTGCTCCTTCTTTCCTAGTGCCCTGGTGGGACAGCGGTAAGTTTATAAACTTACAATACTAAAATCCGGGTTCAAATCCCCACAATGGTGGACACGGCATATAGCCCATTGTGGCTTTGCTGTAAAAACAAACCCTTTTTCCCAAAGAATCACATTTTTTTACAGGTGATAGTTGCATTAAAATTCTAGAATTTTTAAATGAGGTAAAAATTATGTTACTCAAATGTCCATTACACCTGTGTCATCATTCTTTTCTTTATAGTTATAACTTTACTGTGAGATATTTCTCCAGAAAGTATTGACACTGTTTAAAAAGATATAATAAAGTTTCAATTATTTATATTAGATTGAAATATATCTTGCGTTAATGAAGGTTATGTGTGTATTTTTAGAGGATGAAATTCATTATGATGATAGAGCCATTGATGAACTGCTAGACAGAACCAAGCAAGGTATTGAACAGAAAGAAATCTGGGCTAACGAGTATCTTGAGTCTTTCAAAGTAGCTGCTTATGTTACCAAGGAAGCTGATGAGGTAAGAATATGATACAGCAGCATTGACGTGAAACATGTTTCATGTTAAAGCTGACGAGGTAATGTGATACAGCAGCATTGACGTGAAACATGTTTCATGACGTGAAACATGTTTATGTTAAAGCTGACGAGGTAATGTGATACAGCAGCATTGACGTGAAACATGTTTATGTTAAAGTTGACGAGGTAATGTGATACAGCAGCATTGATGTGAAACATGTTTATGTTAAAGCTGACGAGGTAATATGATGCAGCAGCATTGATGTGAAACATGTTTATGTTAAAGCTGACGAGGTAATGTGATACAGCAGCATTGACGTGAAACATATTTCATGTTAAAGCTGATGAGGTAAGAATGTGATACAGCAGCATTGATGTGAAACATGTTTCATGTTAAAGCTGATGAGATAAGAATATGATATGGTAACATTGATGTGAATGATGTTTAATGTTAAAGCTCACGAAGTAAGAATGTAATACAGTAGTGTCGATATGAAACATGTTTCATGTTAAAACTGATGAGGTAACAATATGAATGTGGTATAGCAGTGTTGATGTAAAACATGTTTAACGTTAAAGCTCATGAAGTAAGCTCATGTGAATGTGATACAGCAGCATTGACATAAAACATGTTTCATGTTAAATAATGCACTTTCTAGGGTTTGAACAGGCTATAGAATTAATCATAACTCAAAAACAGAGGTTGCAGTAAATAGTTTTTTGAATGCTTTGGAACAATTCCGTAATGGTTGTTTCAGTTCTAAATCTCTATCCCATTATGTTCTGAACCTATTTGACCCTACACTAGTTTCTATATAGTAGTATGTTTTGAGTGTATTATAATGAAAGTTTACATTAATTTCTGATATGTGGCTTAAGTAGAATTAAAATTTATGCAAAGAAAAAATGTTTTATCAATTCATCTCTGTTTTAACATGTTTGAAATTACATTAGCTCAATATGACCTGAAACCTAATGTAATAAGAGGGTTAAAAAATTCTTTTATTATTGTAAAGACAAACCCTCAGATAATAGTTAGTTAGAAATGCAACCTTTGAATATTGTATTTAATACTTAAACTTTATGAAAAGTTTGTGTGTGTGTGTGTGTGCTATAAAAGATATGACAGTTGACCAAAATAAAATAAATACTACAGTTGCATTTTAAAAATGTTGTATTTTTTTAAATAATTAAATAGTCCAATTGCAGTTATTTCAAATTTTTAACTTGCATGGTTTGGACTTATTTTAAATTCTGGTTATTGTTCTAACTCAAATTCTGAACAGTTATGACAACCAGAAGACTTTATTTTATAATATTTCTCTTTCTGATAGTATACATGGCAGTATAAGTAAAAGATGTTTCTTCTTTAACAAATGTTATCCAGGAGGAGCCAGAAACTGAGATCTTGAAACAGGAAGTGGAATCCGCAGATCCTGCATACTGGGAGAAACTGTTGCGCCACCACTACGAACAGCAACAGGAAGACATGGCTCGAACCCTCGGGAAAGGAAAGAGAGTAAGAAAACAGGTGAACTACAATGTTGCTGTTGGTCCACAGGACGATTCAACTTGGCCGGAGAATTTGTCTGACCACAACTCGGACTTCTCCGTTCCATCAGGCGAGTGGATGATTATTCACAAATAGTAAATTTTGTGCTTCAAGCTTTATCTAGCTTTTGAGTTTTTGTTTACATATTAAGAACAGACTTGTCTTACTGCAAGCTGGCTTCTTTGTTCTCTTAATAATCTGAAGCAATGCTTTGTTTGTCATTCAACAAGTAAGTATACATGGCACTTTGCCTGATCTGTATTTTGATAATGAACACTTCAGTTTTGGGACAGTTGATACATCACTCAAGAGTGTAACAATATTTTTTTCCTGAAATTATGTGTACTAAGGTTTTTACCTGTACCATTTTGTATTGAAAAAAGTAAAACCTTTTTTTTTCATTTTAATTAAAAAACTAATCATTTATAATTTGTTGTTTTAAACTTAGCTTCAGAACATTAACTTTTAATGCAATAAGTGCACACATGTTAGTCAAGGGAATCACTTAGTTCCTCTCACCATAGTTATTTATTAAACTGGGTCATTGAACTAAGATATCACATGCACTTTCTCTTAGGAAAAATTCCTTTAGAGTGGAGCACACTATATTGAAATACAGTGATATTTTCCACTGAAAGTCCGATGATACTTCAAGGATACAACCTCTCTTATTGTGCAGTGAGAGTGACCATCAGTCACATGAGTAGCATCTGTGGCTTGAGAATAATAGCATTGTTGTGTTACATAAATGTAATGCCATGTTTTCTCAGTCTGGAACAGGATGGTGATTTTGACATTATTACATAATCAACACATTCCTTGCCAGAAGCTCTCCAGTAAAGGTGCACTTGTTTTAACTTTGGTTGTTGTTTAATTGAATATAGTTTGTTTCACTATGTTTTGACTTGTATCCAGTTTATATTTTCTTTGAACTTGGATGAGGTCAGAGAACTAATATTTTCATTTCGTAAAACACTTCCTGGCAGACCTTATATTCTACAGAACCCATCTGATTACTCTTATGTATGTCAGTGCATCAGAGAATACCACACATTTCCCTCTCTAGAAAGTGTGATATCAACCACATGCAAGTTTGGAATTTCTACTGCCATGTTGAAATACGTATTTCCTCTTAATATTTTACTAGTTTTAAGTTTAAGATATAATTATTTGAAATATTGAAACAAATGCGTTTTTTTTTTATTGTATGTCTAAAAATAAACCTGCCAGTGGAAGGATTGTTTATTTGTAAAAGCAATGAAAGAGTTAAATTACCTTTGGGTCCCATGTATGTATGTATGTGTACCAAAAGTGTTTGATTCTTTTCAAGTAGTTCATATGAAATATTCACTTAGAAATTTTTAATTTGATGTGCTGAATATTTATGTTTATCTTTTGTTAACTGCATTAAAGTTTGGTTGTTATTAAGTTTTCTTTTTTGAATATTTATTTTCAACAGATGATAATGAAGATGATGATGACTTTGAAGAAAAGAATGAAGGTAAAATCAGTTTTGTGTGATAAATTTATGGCTTAAGTTTAGTGAATCTTTAGTAAAACCTTTAAAATCTTAAACTTTTTTTTGTCTAGTTTCATTTAATCTACTTTGCTAAAAAAGATGTGATAAAGGTAATGCTTTCCAGAACTTGATGTTGGAAAATAGATCGTAATGTAATGTTTCTTTGTTTTCATACATTTTTAAGTGTTTTGAAACTGAATTTTTAGTTGTTGTTTCTTTTATTGTGACAAAAACTTCCTTTGCTGTAGTTCAACTAGTTGAGAAAATACCCATTATTGATACTAAACCTTTCTAACTTATAAGTTTTAAATGGCGGCAATGTATTCTTCATTTGTATGCTTTGCGAACCTCCAGGGTAGCTATAGCGAACATTCAAATGAAGATGAAGCTACAAATTTGCATTATCACTGAATTGGTCTAATAGTGTATGCTTGCTCTTGTAGATAACCCCTAAAGAATTAGTACCCTATTTATTGGGAGATTTTCCACGGCTCACCGTGCTTAAAAATGTGATATAACAGTGTGTTTAGGTTACATATTTTTATACTTGTTGAGCTCAGTTTTATTTCTATTAATAGAAAAAAGCATCAGAGGAAGAAAGGGTAGAGGTGGACAGAACGAAAAAGATAAACCACTTCCTCCACTATTAGCACGAGTTGGTGGTAACATTGAAGTACGTCTTTCTTGTAAATAATATACTTTTTTCTTCTTAGTGAGTGTTATTAAAGAGTCAGTTGTGAATTTATACAAGTTTTGTAAATAGATATTTTTCTAAGAAATACTAATATGATTTTTAATGTTATATGTATATATAAGTTTTCTTAATATCAGTTCATGTGTTTTTATTACATTTTTGGATATTCATAACTGTGCGTGACTCTTAACTCTTTAATAGTCGTATTTGAATGGTAGACCACAAAGAAACTCTCCCTATATAACCTTTGATAGCTAAACTAAGCTTGTCAATAACCTATCATTAAGTGAGTAAATTAAACTTAATTTGTAAGTATCATATGAGATATGATTCTTGCTTCTTTAATTCTTATTGTAACAATATTTTTAGGGCTTAGAAACATTATTCAGCAACTTTATATTTGATTTTTCACACTTCTGTGCTTTTGGTATTTTTTGTCTGCCCTATTTAAGTAGCACTGTACTTTTAACTGTTGTGAAGTAATATTTAAAAAAATTTCTTTTATTTTCTTGCTTCCATCAGGTTCTTGGATTCAACGCCAGACAACGTAAGGCCTTCCTGAATGCTATCATGAGATATGGCATGCCACCGCAGGATGCTTTCAACTCTCAGTGGTGTGTTTATATTGATATTTTCAATGATTAGCTCTTTATGCATTTGATATTTTAAGATTCAGTGTATTTATGTTACAGATTTCAATAAGAAACTTTATTTACTAAATTGAACAGGTTGGTGCGGGACTTGCGTGGAAAGTCGGAAAAGAATTTCAGAGCCTACGTTTCTCTATTCATGAGACATTTGTGTGAGCCTGGAGCAGACAATTCTGAAACATTTGCTGATGGCATCCCTCGTGAGGGCTTGTCTCGACAACACGTACTTACTCGCATCGGTGTCATGTCACTCATCAGAAAGAAGGTACAGGTTTTAATCATTAAAACTTTCTAAAATTATTCATTATTATGTATGATAAGGTTGCTAGTTTTTCTGAATGATTGTATGTTTCACAGATTAGTTAGTTGCATCATTTAAAAATTTTGTTTCAGATAAAACAATTTTGTTGAGACCAGAGAATCATTGACGTAATAATTTGTTCAGACAAGATTTTAAACTGTTTGTTTTTCTTTCTTATAATCATTGAAAACTGCAACTGATTCAAGTGTGGCAGACACAGCGTAACATTTATTATCCTTATTTGTGATTTTGCTCAGTTCTTTAAAGGTCAAATTGTGTGAATTATCTAAAGTAGAAGATACACAGGCATGTCATGTAATATTGCATTAATCTTCTTCACCTGTTTCACATCATCATGACTTTTTGATTCATGACATGTTCAGTACAAATGTTTTTGTGTTTTTCATTATATCAAATCCACTTCTCCAGAAAATTTTTATTATGTAGGATATGGATTAACAGAAGAAATTAGATGTTCTTTTGTGCTTTTACTTGTTTAATGTTTGAAGGACATTTAAAAGTTAATATGGCATGATTAAGAAGTAAGTCTGAAGGCTTATTACTCTTAAAAATTGGATTCCAGTACTTATCGTGGGCAGAGCACAGATAGCCCATTGTGTAGCTTTTTGCTTTAAGAACAAAATAACCAAACAAACTGAAGATGAGTCTTTTAAATGGCTCTTCGAGTCAGTAGGTTTTTGAAAGTAAATTTTGAGTATTAGATTTGTTTTCTATCTATGACACCAGGGGAAGTTGTTGAATATCCTTGTAATGCTGGGTTTTGTTAAAACAAATGTTTTTTTTTAACTTTTTTTAAAAACTTTAAGAACTACTATTTAGAGAAGAATTATATAAAGTAGATTGTTGTTTTATGTGTCCGTTTTTATCTAAACTGAATTGTTCTTCAAAACTTCTTTCCTGATGAAAGAAACATTGTCAACTAAGAAGTTTCATGGAATTCATATAAAGATTAAAACTAGTGCCTTTAAAGGGTTTTGAAAATAATGAAGTTGTCATCGTAGAAAAAGTTCTGGAAATTAAAAAATATTTTTCATTTGGCCATAATGAATTGTTGTCGTCCATTGAAAAAGTTTTGGAAATCAAATAATATATTTCTTTGGGCCATAGAATATTTTTGTACATTGAAATATTAATATGGCACAAGAAAGCCCTTTTATGCAAAAAAAAAATTTTTTTTTTTCATGTATTGTTGTTTTGTTGTTTTCTAAATTTTTGGCCATCAAAAATGATGTCTGGTTA